TATGAAACGGTTTTGAAGGCTAGTGATCAAAGTGATATCTTATGGTTCGTCTCAAGTGCTTGTAATTTGAGGAGACACCGGCCAGAGTGAGTCGAGCGTGTAAAAATAACTTTTTGTTTTACTGGTGCAATAGATGTTCTACAGGGCGCAATTGTTCAAAAACATTTCTTTGGATAATTTTCTCTGTTACTGTTAAGAGCACCCAATCATCAACTAGTTGACAAAATGAAGCTTTCACATCTGAATTCAAATTTCGCACTAACCCTCCTCGCATGCGTTATCTTTACCCAGCTTTGAACAACCCGGCCCAGGTATTGTTAAAAAGCAAACAGTTGACAAAGTTTTAGTTGTAATCATTAATTCAGTTACCTATTGGGGATCCACACGCAGAATACTGAAATTTACTATAAAATGAAACTGTTACTGACAAGTCTTCTTAACTTGTGATGATATTGAAGATCGACTTAAGACCATATTTTTTGTGGTGAAGGCCGGGGCACAATAGGGAGCTTAAGCAACAACGTTTTTGAGCGACGCACGTCAACAGGAAGTGGCCTTTTTTCATTTTTTGACGGTGGTTTCGCGCAAATTTTCAGTCAAATCGCCTCTATAACAGTAAAGAAGCTAAGGAATACAAATTTTATATCATCAAGGCATGTTAAGAGGGAAAATACCTCACTTCCGGTTGACGTGCGTGGCTCAAAAACGTCGCTGCTTAAGCTCCCTAATGATTGTGTTTGAACACTTGTTCACTTATACTGCACTTCTCAATTTCATACGTTTCAAGGGAATCATCAAAGCCTTCAGTGGAATTTGTGTGCGGCTCACGTCAATAACTTTTCCAGTAATTTTTGGTCACGTTTTTCCGCATAAACTGAACATAGAGCTGAAATGTTCGTTTGTCAGGTGCCGAAAATATCACAAGTCATGATGAAATGGCGCCGCCGAGCTTTACACTTTGAGGAACAACGGCCGCCGAGCTAGACAACTCGGTAGCCTACTCGGTTGATTACTTTGTGACACTAGTGTCCCCTAGCTGCACATCTCAGTAGATTTACTTTTTGCACAACAGACGCCAAGCTGCACAACTCGCCGGTAATTTTTCATGCGCAACGGCCGCCGAGCTAAACAACCCGGTTTGATGCATGCACCAGGAATCGCACGCATTTTCCAAAGAAAATATAAAGGCTTAATCCAAAGCAAAATTTACTCAGGGTGTAAATTAAACTTTCAACAAACTTTTGAAAGGTTAACGGTTTGGAAGATTCATTAGACACTGATCGATTGTAGACCTTCAGCAAACTGTTAAATCATGTACGCTTTACGAAGATAGACCTTGTCACGGTTTTCGACGCCATGGCCATCTTGACGAATAGGCAAACGCGTGAGAAATCACAGTGTTTCTATGAGAATCCAGTGTCGAATAATTTCGGTAAAAAGGCTGTTCTGGAAAAAATATGAACTGTAAACTAAAGCTACACAGCAAAGGATATTACCAACATATTTTGGAGGCCGTTACTGTGCTTAAATTTCTCCAGAAGCTTGCTTTAGATTTTCCATATATTTGTCTGCAATTTTTCCCGAAAAATTTTTACAGACAAATGTATAGAAAATCTTTAAAAAAGGGTCTAGGTCTTCTAGCGCATATAACGCCCTCAAATTTTTTCAGTAGAAGCCTTAAGAATGAAGCTGTAGTTTACAGTTCATATATTTTTTAAAACAGCCGTTTTACGGAAATTATTAGACGTTAGATTCTCATACAAACACTGTAATTTCTCACGGGTTTGCCTACTCGTCAAAATGGCGTCGAAAACCGTGACAAGGTTTATTCAGCACACTTTTAAAAGATGAACGCTTTACTAAGACAGACAGACCTCAGCAAACGTTTGAAGGATGGGAGCCCGAAAAAAATGATTGTCAAATTTCACAAACATTTTACACATGAAATTTTCAGAATTTTACCTGTTTTTTCACAATTCTTGTGAAATTTGACATTCATGTTCTCGGACTCCCATGAGAAAGTCCTTGATATTATTACGAATGACTAATTACGTCTTAGCCCTTGAAAAATGTAAGAAAGAATGCAATATTCTTTTAATTGTTCTGGTACAAGGTGTTTGTCCACTGAAATTTAAAATTACTCAATTTACTGAGCTGGTGGACTCCGTCTTAAAGTCTCGGTGTGTCATCTTGTAATGACCTGAAGTGAAATGAATGAACCAACCACTGATCAACACCAATGGTTGTCTTGCACGCTTGACTAATGTAAATTTTTTTTTTTAATTATCATGGAGTTACATTTAATGCAGAAACTGCTTTGCAGTTGACAATATATCGAAACAAGAGCATATTGAGTTAATATCGCTTAACAAGTGCATTGTTTTAAATGCATATAATTATAGTTTTAATGTATATATTGTGGTTGTTTTTTCTATCTCAGGAAAGTTTTATTTTTTCACGTTTTTGGGTATGATATTTTTTTAATGAATTTGAAACAAAGGAAAAACAAAAATTAGTTGAAATAAAAAAATAACTGCAACATACATCAAACGGTGAATTCTTAAATATTTCAACACCTTCTCTGAAACAGGCCATCTAATAGAGTAATCGAATTAAATTTTTTAGCTAAGAATTTTCGGGTCAAATTTTGCAGGAAACAAGTCTATTATGTGGCAAACTGTGCCATTTCCTCGGGGTATGATACTGGGCATAGAACACTTACAGTGTCATTTTATTGATAACAAAATTTGAAAATTTCAGAGGCTACATAGTGTCCAAAAGCTAGCTAATTAGTCTTAACTGGCAGTTGAGTTTGTTTTTTGGTGCAGATTATGCAATTTCTTATCCTTCTAGATAACGGTTTCTTCCTCCCTTAGAACTTGAAATACTTCAAAACAAAGGATTTATTGAAAAAGATGTGCTGATTTTGACCTTGGAGGATCCCAAAGGTGGCGTTGGAAGTGGTGGTGCCCTGATTAATGCCTTACTTGTGGTCACAGAGCATCTGAGTGCTAAAGCAGGCTTTGGGGTTGGTAATAATTATGACTGTATAACACGCTATTTTTACCTAAGACCTTTTCTATCAGAACATTTTTTTTGTCTTGTGTTCACACTTAGATGTAACCAACTGTAACTGTCTGTCTCAAAGAGGTGTTGGCCGTATTATAGTCAGTCATAGATTAAACCGTTTATTAGCTAGCCCCAATGTCCTGATTTAAAATTCTCCATACTGAACTCCACACAAAAAAAAAATTATCCTTAAAGAATTATTTGAGGGAACTGAATTTCTTTAAAGATGAAAGATCAATGTATTTTCCTTTAGGGTTATCATTTCATTAATGTAAAATGATAGGAAATACTTTGATCTTTAACAAATTCAGTTTTGTCACTTAATTGTTGAAGGAAATTTTTTTTGTTGCAAATCCCATACAATAGAACTTGAACTACTACCTTGCTGACTGCAGAAATTTAGGGCCTGTTTACATAGAGGTGGAGGACCCCAGGAAGGTGAGGTAAACCGCTTAGGTGGGGTTACCTGCCTGTCCATATAATCTCTCATTTTGATGGGATCACGTTTACATTTTAGGTGGGGTAACCCGCCACATGCTACCACACCTACCTGGCGTCCCCCACCTTCATGTAAACAGGCCCTTATTGAAGAAAAATTCAAATGCAACTTTTGTACTTAGTGCTAAGCCTGCTTACTGGTTACAACTTCTTTTCATTCTTACAATAGGTCGTTACACAAAGTGTTTTGAAGAATGCAAGGATACTCATCATGCATATGGCATGTACTAATCTATTATTACTCTCATCATCATTATCACATTATGTAGCTTTTTCTCTGTTTTTGAGCTGATCATTGACAAGATAGCAAGTCTCTATGGTAATAAAGATTGAAATTCCTGCGCAGCGTAGTTACTTAATGTTAATTTTAAAACTGTAAAATAGACACTGCTATTTTAAGAGACTTAACCGACGTTTTGGCAATGCTGCCTTCTTCAGGGTACAAGACTAATCTTGTGCCATGAACAAGGCAGCATTGCCGAAACGTCGGTTAAGTCTCTTAAAATAATCAGCGTCGATTTTATAATTTTCAAATTAACGTCAAGTCTCTATGGTACATGATAACCTCGTCAGTTACTTCCTCCTGCTAGGTACACCACATGGTTAGCTCATTTGGGAGAGCGCCCGTCTGCTGAGTGGGAAACCACGGGTTCAAACCCCAGCTGGACCATCACTCATCTTAAAATAACTGAGGAGAAAGTGCTACCTTTGAATGAAATCTGCAAACTAAATTTCCTAGTCTTCTCACAACAATTTCACTTGATATATAGTTCTTGTGGGATGTAAAAGAACCTACACTGCTGTTCGGAAGGAGCAGGGGATGTAGACCCTGGTGTTGTGGCCGACCTTTCTTGGGCTGGGTATAGGTTATTAAGGAGAGGTATTTTAATGTTATATAGGGATAACCTAATGATCGTCCATCAGGTGTACTAATGGCTACCTGTAAACAGTGTATGTATGTATGTATATATGTGAGCATAAATTCGTTCTGGTTACATCGGACTGAAATTTTCATAGAAACTTGTTTGTCTCTCGTCCTTTTAATATTCTTTTGTAACAGCCCATTTTTGTAAGTAATGAAGTAATAGAGTGCTAAAGTGTGACGTCATAAAAATGAAATTTCTGAAATTATGGGATTTGCCGGGATATTCTGAAAGGACAATGTCCAAGAGGCCAACTTGCCAAAAATGAGCATTTCGGGGCAAATTGTCTCTGAGATCGTAGCCCAGTTATGCTTAGAAAACTTCATACAAACCCTTCTAAATTTTTTTGGGTTGACCCCCCAAAAAATTAGAAGGGTTTGTATGGAGTTTTCTGAGTATAACCGGCTAACATCTCAGAGACAATTTGCCCCGAAATACTCATTTTTGGTAAGTAGGCCTCTTGGACATTTTTCTTTCAGAATATCCTGACAAATCCCATAATTTCACAAATTTCATTTTCATGATGTCATCACTTTAGTACTCTATAGCTGAAAAAAACATTCTTTGATTATATATTTGTTTCTCAATTGAAATCTGTTTTCTTATGTAATCTGAGATTTCTTTCCTACTGTGTATGTTTTAGGGTTGGGATTTTCCATTAAGCTCTTGTGGATGGTTCTTCAACACTCTTCCGGCGAAGCACAACGAAAAATGTAAAGAGTCTCTGTGTGATTCTGTAGTGTCAAACTTTGACTATGTGCTTACAGTTATCTCAGCAACGGTAGGCTCATTTTACATCTTTTGTTTTATTATTTATTATTATATAGCTGAAATTTTTCCCAAAGCGCATTTAACCTCTGAGATGTTTAAGTCACCTGTTAATTGCCTCTGAACGGTATATATAGGGTCGTAACTCGCCCGATGTGTATATTTGTCGTTCTTTAAGCCTGACAAAAAGAAATAAGCTTGGAAAGACAGTGACTGCACATGTGGAATCCAACGTTAACTGAACTAAAATAACATCTCGGAGAAGTTGGTTCACTATGTTGTAGAGTGTTGTATGGTATCGGGTGAAGATATCAGTCCTAGCGAACCCCTCAGGGCGAATCGACTTTCGGGCGAAATGACCCCAATTCGTCTGAACGATGCAAGTTTTCAGACGATAAATGCGTCTCTTATTTGGACGTTAGAACGACTTTAACGTCTCTAGTATAATAACTGCCAATAATAAACCTTTCTAAAGTATCTAATTTGATGACATGCGTTCAGTTTTTGGATTCCCGAATGTCACTAAGGTTACTACTTCAAACATGGTTAATTATGTTGCTCTGGCAATGCAAACATAAACTAGCAGCTTTTGCCCGGCTTCCCCCCCATCCAAAAAAAAAAGAATACGCCTGCATTGCTGGCAAAACACGTACCACTTGATTACTTTGGGCACTTTCAGTTTGAAGCGTCACTCTTTGTGAGGTTGTGAGATCACTACGCATTCAACTTACTCCTACACACGACTGGATATATAGTCTTGAAACGTTCTTACGGTGGACAATATACTTAACCCTCTAGGTCCCAAGAGTGACCAACATCAATTTTCTCCTAACAACATCAGCAGATCATCAAGAGTAAAGGTTATGAGAATTACTAAATTTATTACCAAAGGGAGGATGCTTTGATGTTAAACCAAATTCTCTCAACTATTCTTAAAAGAAGAGTATTGAGATCAGTCTCGAGAATTTGTATGGATCTTGGGGCTTAAAGGGCTTAATCGACTCGGTTGATAAACACGAATTTTTTGTTCTAAACAATAAAGAAATGACTTGACGTTATCGTATTAATGGGGTAGCCTTATGATGGAGTTCCACTGTATTGTAGGCTATCACTGTAAAATCAGCGATATTTTGGGTATTGTTATATTTCGTGACTGTAATCAGTATAACTGTGTTCTTCTATGTAGTTATCAGTGAATTCTCCTCCTGGTGTTTGGATCTGCAGTTCTCACATGTTGCCGTCGATTGCTCCAGACGCCCGTAAGTCTTACAAATGGAGAGATTAATCACAACTCAGTCTTCCCGGCCAAACGTCTCAGATTCTGTGATCACGCCTTTTACACTACACTTATACATTCAAGAGATCTTATTTGGCAGGGGCTTAGCGTGAGATTTTCAAGGTGTACGCGCGGGAAGAAAGGTTAGACCGTCGAAAGCACTCCAGAGTTTTCCACAGAACATTTTCATTGATTAAGTAAGAAGGAAAATGCAATAGTTAGTTGTTTATTTTGCCCACCGGCTCTAGTGTTACCGGTATGGTACAGTTAGCTGACGGCAGTGTTTACGGACAATTGGGGGAAAAGTCAAACGCCACCAAGAAGGTTAAGGGTGAGGTGTCTACCCTTCAGTTAGACGGGCAGGGACACCAATATAATGCAAAAAATTGATCAGCCATACCCGATTTAGTGATAAAAATGCTTCCAGGAAGCAAAAAGAGATTATTTTTGTCATATTTTCCCTCTGCGTATGTATGCATATGTGCGTGTATGGACGGTACGCTCATTTATTATATACATACTGAGAAATACTCACCAAAAAGCTATGTCGTAAATTTTCGTACGCAAATGAGTTCTAGCCAATCAGAGGAGCGAACGATGGTTTTCACACGTGAAAAAAAATGATACGTCCAATTAGAATCGCGAACGATGTTTTTTCACGTGTGAGAAAAATGATACGTCCAATCAGAAGCCACAGAGGTGTGTGATTTTCGCGCCAAAATTCCCGCCTTTTATTGCAGCTTGCAGCGCCGCTTCGCACACATTCAACGAGAAAAGTTTTACTCAAAGAGTTTTTCTCACTAAAAAAGCGAAAAACATTTCGGAAATGGAGTGGAATAGTTTCGTTTGTTTCACTGTCGATAAAGAAAACGGTAGACAGCCGGCGAAACAACAGCGGAAAGGGAAAAACAGAACGAGACGTAAGCTTTTGTTGTGCTTTTTGTCGGAGCTACTTTGCCTTCATTTAAGCTTAAGCTTATATTGAAACCGGCCATTTTACTTAAATTCACTCATTTTCAATTGTGCATTGAGAACAAACAGTTAAGATTACTTATAGTTCTTGGATTACCCCATATCCTTACCGTCATTTATGTTTTTAACAAACGTTTTTACCAAAAAGGTGATACTTCGTTTTCGTTGTCATTTTGCGGTAAGTGTGTAGCGGCAAATTTTAGCATTTTTGAAAGATTTAAAATAAAAAGGCCGCCAAAATGATGAATGTCTCAGTATGTATATAATAAACACAATACCACATGGAAAGTGCTGGCGTACGGTATTTACGCACTCGTTTTTTTTGTATCAGAAATCTTACTCGTTCGCTGCGCTCACTCGTTCGATTTCTGATACGTCAACAACTCGTGCGTAAATACCGTACGCCAGCACTTTCCATGAAGTATTCTCTATGTATGGTATGGTCAAAGGTCTCTTAAGCGACCACTGCCATATTATAGCGGTCACAACTAGAGCTGGATGTTGACGAGAATGATCTCTCGTAAGCGACCAAGCGATGATAAACTTATCTATCAGGGCTGTCATTTACGAGAGCTCAGTTTTAGCAAAAGTTTCCGATATACATACCGTGCATTCTTTTTGGATTTGCTTAGTTTTTACACTAGTAAGCACCAACTGTGACAAAAAAGTGTTTTTATTTTTTCTTTATTTTTTCAAGGAATTGACTGGGAGAAGTTTTCTAATGGTATCACCGTGATTCTCTCACCTGGGGACGTTCATTATGCAAAAGATCATGGTGTAGCCAAACTTGGAAAAGATGTGAGGGTTTTTAGCATAATTAACCATAACTTAAAAATAGCTCTCTCAAGAGAGCACAAGTTTACAGTTTTGTTATGTCTGTTGTGCAGTTGCGATTTGATCAACTAGCTATGTCATATGAGCATGAGACTTAACCTGTTTTGTCGAAGAAAATAATGTGTGATTTCTTGCCTGGAAGAAAAAATTTTCGACCGCACAAGGTGACGCTTATTTATCTGACGAATTAAGTTACAATTCACCATCATGTCATAGCTAGCGTCGAAGATAAAATGAAGCGTGACTTTTTGCATCAAGAAAATTAATATTATTGACGCAACAGGTCACGCTTTATCCTCATGTTACAGTGTATATAGCACGCCGATGAACACAATTGCCCCTTTTTTGCAAAATTTATCTTACATAGAAAAAAAAACAAATTGATAAAATGACAAGCAACGACTAGACCGTAGCAGACTCTTCTTGTTTGCGAACTGAATGACACAGTACTTTGAATCTGGCCTTCAGAATTATCGCTTTTCTTACGGTCACGACATGACTGCATAGTGTTACACGGAAACTGTAAACATAGAAACTAAAAAATAATTAATCAGTCAGGTGGATGCACGAATAAGCCTTTCCAGCATCCCGCACCAGAAAGCACACGCAGTGAAACAAGATGGTGACTTGGGTGGAACTGGAAACGTATAACCGTTTTTGTCAGCTTCATTGCCGGATCCAGACCTGAGATAACCGGGGGGGGGGGCGGTCTCCAAAACAAAAATTTTTCGGCCCTTTGGGCCTCAGTCTGGACTAGACGTAAGGGGAGGGCGGGCCCCCCGGGCCCCTTTCCTGGATCCGCCACTGAGCTCAGGCTCGAGTCGGTGTCTGTGATCACAGAACACACTACTCTTCCCTCTGTTGTGGAAATACCCTGCCAGCACAGTCTTCCTTTCGCTTGCTCGAATTTGCTGTTCTCGAGAAAGACTGCTTGAATCTAGTAAAATCTTTGTTGAGCATGCTTTTCATGTTGCTAGGATATAGTTTCGAACCCAGGCCTAATAGTCGTGCGCTTGGTACAGCTGGCTCGGTTATGACCATCGGTTTGTTCAATAAACAGGCGCACTCGAAAAGCCAGTTTGACGAGAAAAAACAAGATCGACTTTTCTCTTCCCTACTCAAGAAGAACACAGAAAGGGACTCTGCTCGCATGGTGTCGTGGGAAGGGTTTCTCAACAAACGGGCGGATGTGTTTCGCTCCGGTAACTCATCCTGTGTTTTTACTAACATTCACTTTAAGGGCAAAGTAAAGGACATTATCTTCCGAGAAAGTGAGGAGAAAATCAGAAGTTTCGCCCTTGAGAATGGCAAGGTGCCGTTGGTAAGTTGGAAATCCTGTCTAACTGGTAATCAGTAGGAAGGTTGTAGAGATTCGTTTAATTGCGCGGTTTTCCGTCATCAAATTCCCATCAGGAATGTTGATTCCCAGCCATGTGACAAGGCGGCCGTGTCACAGTCGATTGGCGAAAAAATACAATTTTTTTCGCAGAATTTGCTTGAAAAAGAGTTAAGTTCCTAGCGGAGGGTAGTCTGCTACACAGGCGTTCTTTGCGTCGTAATGCACGAGGAGGAGCTTTGCGTGACGGCTTTGTAGCAGACTAAGCGGCTTTTGTTCTTGTCAACCAACATGGCAGCCGTGATTTCAGCTGTAAATCAGCAGTTCTCTAATTTAGGCCCCGTTGTAGTCTGCGAAAACAGACGTTTCTCCTCGCTCATCGTCGCTGGGAGACGTTTCGCCATTAGGAACGTGTGCGACTCAGCGACAAAACTTCCATACTGGTGACGTAAAATCCGTCCGGAATCCGGTTATAACCGCTGATTGGACGACAGAGTAGTTACGTTGTTTTAGCTATTGTTTATGAATAACAGACAAAAGGTTACAAAGGTCATTCAAATGTAAACGGGATGAATCTATAACAAAACAGTCAATATTTGTGGAATATATTCTTCTCTATAGAAGAAGCATTTGAGTTTTTCTAGAGCTCGTTCCCGGATGAACACAACACTTTTCCGAAAATCGACCAGGAGAAACGTAAAATTGAACAAATTTGCATTTGGAACCCCACGACTACCGATTTATTACGTAAACATTGATTTACGTCATCAGTATGGAATTTCTGTCCCTGAGTTGCAGACGTTCCTCTACGCGGAACGTGCCCAGGGGCGAGGAGCGTGGAGAAACGGCTGTTCTCGTAGGCTAAAGAAGGTGCAGTAAAAACAAACTGTTTTCCTCGGGACCTGACATTTAATGTAACAGGTTATTTACTAGTTAGCAAGTAAAGATATCTTGACTGTGCTCTGTTCTGTTGTAAAACACGCAGGGAGCGGCTAGAGCACCAAAGAAGTATTGGGGGGGAAACACGAGACGTAGTCTAGTATTTCTCCCTTCTTGAGTGCTCCAGGCGCTTCCTAAGTGCTTTACAACAGAACAGAGCACAGTCAAGGCTTCATTATTTGTTTTATGATAAAGAATCCGTTAAATTCCCCACGCATTACTTCCAAATGTTCAAAACAAACTATAGGTAAATGGCTGACAGCTCTAGCTCCGTGTTTTATACTCTCATAAAGCAGGCTTTTTCAACCAAGCAGAGTGCGTGTTTATCTGAACTTTATCATAAAAACGTTAATTTTGATTGGCAGGTTAGCGGAACTGTGTTCATGGACATCAAATCTGCCTGCAAGGTTTTGAGTCTTCATGTATTCCATCCCTTAGATGCTTGTACTTATTTTGGGCTAGACAATGGAGCTGATCCTATTCAGGTATAACTGACATATATATCTAATTTTTGTGGTGTTGGTACAGCTATACATTTTCATAAGGACCTCGACATTCGTGATGGCCTTGTCGAATATTTCAAAGAGAAGAGAAAAGGGCAACTAATGCAGCGATGATGTCGAGAACGTCATAAAAAAGCAAGAGTTTGAGCGGAGCAAAAAAAAGAACTTTGCGCGCGCATTCAGTACACTTTATTCCTTTTCCGACCACTACATAGCCTCGAGTTGAAATTTTCTTATAAGGGAGTGTGTAAACATACGAGTTGATAGCAAATTTTTCTTTTCCTCTCTCTAGTGAATCTGCCTATGTTTTTTTTAAAGCAAATTAAGTGATTTGTAATATTCTCCATGCATATAGCCTTGGTCTTCGGCCGTGAATCTCTCCGGTCGTAGGTCAGTGGAAAAAAGCGCCACGCGTTGTTGGGAGTAGTACAGTAGCTCTTTTAGACCTCTATTTTCATTGGGCTAAATAAGCAGTAGCTTCTTTTGTTTTTAGGACTAGGGGTATTGTTTGTGTTGAATCATCTACAGTTTCGTTCTCCAATCACAGACCATTCTAGCACCAAAAAGATCTAAAAGGCGCAGCAACTTTTCACTGGGTTTACACGCAGAAATTTTGGTCTTTGTGGTTAGCAGTAGAGAAGGAATCAAAATATCAACGATTACTCACTGAATGAAGCGCTGCAATTTTCGCTGGTTTGTCCCTTCCTAGTACTATGATCTTCCTAGCGAAAGTAGTTTACATGGTACTAGGATCTTCCAACCTCTCAGCTTGGAAGATCCCAGCACTAGGGACAAGTACAACTTTGTGCATGTAAACTGAGTCCAGAAACCATATGACGCTAGGATGATCCCCCCTCTAGGATCTTCCTGGTGCTAAGCTGGATCAATTGAGGTTTCTGGGTAACTGACCACCTACCCCTCCCCTAAGTCACGATTTTGCCTTAAGTGAGAAGGTTAATGCTGACTTAGGGGAGGGGTGGGTAGGGTACCCGGAAACCTAAACCACGAGTAGTACCCATTTTCCCTCAGGGATAGTATAGCGAGCAAAACGCGAGTGCGCGTGAAAATTACCCCATGCGAGAAAAGGCGACACGCGGCGGGGAGAGAAAACAGAGCAGACAGCCCCTTAAGCCAGCTAACTGTTGGACGTTTCTCCTTTTTTTTTTGCTATGCAGTTGTCCATGATATTTGATATCCTTCTTTGTCTGGCCGAGGATGTGACAGAGTCAGCGTTTGTTGAGGGTGAAAGAAGCGGTTCATATGGTCGCTACATGCCTGTAACGATGAAGTCCTCAGAACACCCCAAGAGGACGCTCATGCGCAATGCAAGAGCGATGCTTTGGCAGCGACTAAGGGGCTTGGAGCTGAAAGGAGGTTAATTAACAATTTTTTTTTTTTTTTTTGGGGGGGGGGGGGGTTCGCATAATGTGAAGAATTCCCGGAGGGGTACTCGTGGGAATTCTTGGTGGGGGTGTGCAGCTGGTTTTCCAAATCCTTACCCTATTCCAGACCAAAAAATGTCATTTAGATTTGGCCTTTAGATAGAAATTATGTCATGCTGTAATTACTTGTATAAGAGCGCAAGCAAACATTTCGTCAAATGCATTTCGAATTCGCATATTTCTATTTTTCTTATTAATTTGGAATTGAAACGATAAAAAATATGTTCATACGCTCCCGTAGTTCCTTCGAAAACCATTCCCGATTCCAGACCAAAATGGGTAATGTGTATACCCGTTTTCAGACCAAAAAGGCCCAAAAACCATACCCTTTGGGACGGCACATTCTTACATGGCTTATATAAGGGATTACCCCCCGGGGGGGGAGAATTCTGCAGATCTCGGAGAATGTTGTCGGCTGAGGTGGATAACAGCCTCCGAGGTCTGCAAAGTTCTTCACCATCTTGCTTCCAAAACTAAACTTGATAATATACACTGTTATCACTAGTTCTACACTTAGCAATGCTTATACTCAAATGTAAAGAATTCTTTCAACAGTCCTTCTTGAGAACGGTACGTTTGATTACTCGAAGCCATCTGCAGAGTGTTATAGGAGACAAATGCTTAACAGCATTGAATTTCTAAGCCAGAGTGGAGTCAAGTTCGATTTCAACAATCATACGCACGTATCGATCGGTAAGGTGAGTACGTTACAACCGACTTTCTTTTCCGAGATCTCGGATGTTTTTAAAGATCTTTGAAAAATAACGTCGAGTTTATTTTTCTAAAACAGCAGTCGTTGTTAAAGGTTATGTTACACGGGACGAATCGCAACAACGATTTTTAGCGCAACACAGCGTTGCAATATTGTCGCGACATTGTTTTGAATGGTTCCAACATTGTTCCAACATTGCAATGCTGTGTTGCGCCAAATGTCGTCGTTGCATATCGTCCTCTGTAACATCACCTTCAAGACCTTTAGATTCGAGGACGAGGACGATTTGAGTTAAATTTTTTTTCGCATCTTCTCAGAAAACAGACATGCCTGAAAGCTTCATTTCACTTTTTTCCCTTGAGAAATTAACACGGTCATTTTTAGCGAAGGAGGTTAAACCCTTTCCCGATCGAAAAATGATAAAGCTTCTAACGTTTGGATTTGATAACTTTTTTCCGTCACTAAGACGTTAGAGACCTGTAGATTAGAGGACGAGCTAGGCCGACTACGAGTACGAGATTTGACTTAAAGTTTTTTCGCGTATTCTCAAAATATAGACCCCCAGGAAAACTTCATTTTACCATTTTTCACTACAATAGTTAGCAGCGTTACCTTTAGTGAAGGAGGTTACGACTTCTAATTCCGCCACTTTGACATTCTCGCTAAAACTCGTAGTATAATGACAACTGCTACCACTTTTTCCCGCCAAAACGGCGTTGGTTCACGCACGAACACAACTTACTACTGAGAAAATCTCGTACTCGTATAGTCGTACTCTTCTTATTCTTAAGAATCTCAAGGTCTATTTTTTCGCTAAAAACGCATAGTAGAGTGACGGCGCCTACAATGTTTTCCCGCCAAAATGACGCTGGTTCACGTGCGTGCACTTCTTAGTGTTGAGAAAATCTAGTTCTCGTCTTCGTTCTCGTCTTAAGGTGATTTTACACGGGACGATTCGCAACGACGCTGAAAAGCCCTTTTTAGGGATGCTTAATAAAGTGTATGTATGTATGTCCTCCATAAAACTTGCAATTAGGCATTTTCACGTCGTAGTCTTGCGAGGACGGTAAAGAAATGTACAAAAAAGCGTGATCCCCTTGCAAAGTTATTGTTTTGCGCAATAAACCTATTGCTTTTTTGACGTCCTCGTTGCCGTCGCCGTCGTCGTTGCTAAAGCTCCCCGTGGTCGGTCAACGAAAGAAACTCTGGAAAGTGTCTTTAGCAAAATCTTGCGAAAATTTCTTCCGTTTTGCAACTTTGCCGAGCTAACGAGTTTTCTTTCAAGATTCTTATTAGCAGTTGCTATTTTGTTGTTTCAGAATTGTACTCCCATTCCAGAATCCTCTGTTGTGATAAATTCGATCGTGGAGGATGGCATCAAGATTGGGGAGAATTCAGTGATCTCTAACTGCCATTTGAAGGTGTAATACTTGTTCATCGTAGTCGTAACGTTATTTTTTAGCTGTTTAACAAATCGACAACAATTTTCCATGGTCCGTACTAGTTTTGAAAATTTCGACGCCATTACTTCCGCGAGTTACAATTCCCCCCCACTTAAAAGTCCCCCTATTTATAGGCCCAACTACCTGAAAACAAAAAAAATACATCCGGTTATAACCGCCCCCCCCCTCCCGAATATAAGCCCCCCCTAGCTTACTTACATTAAAATGAATTCAACTTTTTACGACGTTTTGAAGCGCAAAAAAGCCGATCAAATTCAAAAAGTATTTTGATCAGCACTGCTATGTAGCTTGTTTTGAGACACTTCTGCGGTCCGATTATAAGCCCCCACCCTCACGAATATAAGCTCCTCTTTTTATTAGCCCTCCTAAAACCCCTTACGAAGTTGTATAATCCCAAGGCTTATAATATAGCTTATATAATTTGTGCTCCCTGATGAAATTCGTCTTTATGCTTTATTTGGAGTCTTATACAGTCCTATGTACATCGACTTTATCCAGTAAAATATAAAATCATAACACAAATTCCACACTAGTGGAACTATAATCAATGTTAACCTAAACAACTAATGATCTTCTTTTCTCATAGCAGTCGAATACGTATTTTGCAATTAACTTTTGTACATCTCCCATAATGCACCTTGTTCAGTTTCCCCCCAAAATGTTGCATAAGGTTTTTTTTTTTTTTGGTGGGGAGGTGGTTGGGGACAAATAAGGTGTATTATGGGAGATGTTCAAGTGACGTAGGGGTGAAGGCACTACGTTTTTGACTTCAGCACAGAATTGACCTAAAACAGCGATATACTCTTGGCATAGCCCCTTTAAACACGAGGTCAATTATTTAATTAGCAACGATTTGGTTAATGCGATTTAACACTGAATGTTTTAAATATTCCAGGGGGATTTGTCCTTTGGATCAGGGTCCATCTTAATCGGTATTTCATCTAAAGCTATGAAGGTGAGATAGTGTCGTCAGTCGAATTCTGATTCCATGCTTTGAGCAGTGTGCGTGGTTCTTTTTTGTGATTTTTCCTCTTTGTGATTTTTCGTAGGATGTTCCGTCGGGAGTAACTTTTCCTAACGATTTGTGCGCCATTCACTTCAATGTTGACCTTGGTGATAGACCACAAAGAGTTTTGGTTGTTTTGGGCGCTCTTGATGATCTGCAGGTGAGGCTGCTTTTCAGTACCACTAGCGTGTAGCAGCTTTAGCCTCCCTCGTAGACGTTCTTAAAGGTCTGTCACGAGTCCCCCTCCCCCACGTTGGGAAGAATTGACCAGAACGTCTGCGTGGAAGGGTATAACCTCTTAGGGTATCATCCCACCTTCGGTACACTCCTCGCGCGGATCGTGCTAGCGGTTGTAGCCTTAATAATTACCCCTACAAACCGCACATTTTCTAAAAGCTTAATGGCTGAAGATTACGGCTAATTTCTTTAAACAATCCAAAATGCTAACGCGTTTCAGAATTGACGAGCTTTTTGCAAAGGATACATGTTTCTGTAAATTTAAGTCCAGGTCAGCCAAAAACAAACGGAAGAAATCGATTAAGATCGCGTTCGCTTCATGACACGTCTGACTAGAAAGCCGTGACTCAGATTTTTGACGTGTGCGTTTGTTCTTTTGTGATAACTGAGTAGATGAAGTAAGTGATAACAAATCATTAGAATTACCTGTGGAAAAAATGCTATTACTCAAAAACGAAAAAAAGAAATCAAAATTCGCACAATTGTTTTTAGAATAACTATCTGGCAGTCAGTTGGTCAAATTTCAGCCAATTTGGTTCACGGGTTGCCGACTTGTAGTTTTAAGATGAACGCTCAACTTGGTCCGATTTTCATTTTGAGAAAACAGACAGTGAAAATGATGTATTGTCTTTCTCGTCATGCAGACGCCATTTTCATCAGAAAACAGCACGTATTGCAACAAACCATGGCAGACGTTTTTTGATGGAACAGGGATCAGCCCTAATGAACTCTGGTTTGGAGTGGTAAGTGCTGTATACATCTCACTGCGTATTGCACATTTGAGATTGAGCGGAAGACTGGGTCTGTGTTGTTTCGAACTGCGTTATGGGTCCAAATGTTTCCGCCAAACAGTCCCACAATGTAATTGGAGACGATGCTGACCCTGTCTTTTCCCAGTTGGAGGTTTTTCTTGCCTAGACGCAGTCAACCTTTGTTCGTTAGGCTTCTGAGGGGTTTCTCTCTTAGGCAGTGTTCACACTTGGTGCCCGGACACGGTGCCCAAGTACGGTACGGTGAACACAACATCATTTTGTGCCGATACTCAGGCACTTGTTCCGGGACACCAAGTGTGGACAGCCCCTTATCTAGGCTATATTGTTATGCAACAACAACCAACGGCAAAAAGAGTTTGTTTTGTATCATCTATTAACAAATTCCATAATTTGCTATCCGCCTAATGGAATGTTTTATTTTTTACCCCTTTTGGCTTGAAACAGGGTAGGGGAATTACCATCCTCGGAGACCCAGGGGCAGATAGTGGGGGCGAGAGAAAGTCTAAACGGGCGGGAAAATATGGCACGAAGAAAAGTAGGGAACGGCGAGAAGAGCCCCTGGGGACAATGTCTTACCAGACCAGTTCCAAACTGTCGCGGTGGTTCTGGCTTCTGATTGGTGCCAGAAAACTTTTGTGTTTTTCTGCCCAATCAGAAGGCAGAACGGCGGCGACCGTTTGGAACTGGTCTGGTAAGACATTGTCCCCAGGGGCTCTTCTCGCCGTTCTTTACTTTTCTTCGTGCCATATTTTCCCGCCCGTTTAGACTTTCTCTCGCCCCCACTATCTGCCCCTGGGTCTCCGAGGATGGGGAATTACATATTTTGATCTGAAGTAGGGCGAGCTCTTCAGAAAGCACGTCACCCATCCTCACCTAAATTTTCTAGCCTTTAAAAGCATGAGGAGGCTTGGAATGGTGGATAGAAAGGTCGAGGGAAAAGCGAGGATGCCTCTAGCTCCTTACCCGTGCGTTAAACTCTCGCGGGGTTATATTGACGCAAACATATTTATAGGCGTGAGAACCTGACTCGTGAGAACCATGAATTCCAGCGCTCTAACCGCTCGGCCACGATGCTTTTAAACCAATTAGATTACTTAATTTTGTGAGGTATAAAAAGGTGATTTTATATTTCTGTTGTAGCCTGAACAGGAAAGAAGTCTTATTAATGCCAAGCTCTTCCCCACGATCCATTGTTCTGTATCACCGAACGAGAAAACAGACGAGATTTTGTGGTTGTCGATGATCGCAAGCGGCTTTTCAAAGCGGTTATTTTCTCAAACCATGGACGTTAACGAGAATGTTTTCAGCTCGTCGCCTACAAAACGTCAACGTTTCGTTTATTCTCATGGGCGAGGACTTGCGGATCTACTTCAAAAGTAAGGAACGTCTGTGTGTGCTTGGGTGTGTGCGTGTAACGGCCTGTACAGTATATTATAAAATAGGGACGGAACTTAGGCAACGACGATGGCACGGGAGCAAAAAGCTCACTTAAAATAAAAAAGCAATCGCGTTGTTTCAAACTTTATCGATCTTATTCCATTTCGTTCAATTTGTCAGTGTTCGCGAATTTTTGTGGAGTTGAGTTCTAAAAGTTTGTTTCTAAATTTAGACAAAGGAAATCGTTGTCTTGTGTTGACGTTCTCCATGAAATGTGAAATTAGGAACTTTCACGTCGTTTTTTGCAACGACTGCAAAGAAATGTACCAAAAAATAAAGCTTGATGGACAATTGTTTTGCTATTCTAAACTTATTGCTTTTTTCCGTTCTCGTTGCCGTCGCCGTCGTCGTTGCCTAAGCTCCCTGTTAAATTCAATAACTAAGATAGTACGTGCGCCCTGATTGGCCAAGAATTAAGTAAGTTGGATGAGAGTAAGTTGGTTTCACCATGTTTTGCTGTGCACGTGCTTAACACCATGATCATCGAGTGATTATGAAAAAAGGTTGATTTAAGAACACAACATAACATAAAGAAAATTTATTTTTGAAAGAAATAAATGGTTTTATGCTTAATGTGACTGATTAATTTAAGTTTCTATAACATAAACAACTTATAGGTAAAGTTTGAGAAAAATCTCGGTGCAGGTTCTGTTTCAGAGGAATGACCCTACCCATCCAACACACACACTTGGGTGAATCATTCTGTTAATTCCTACAACTTTTTTTCTTCTTAATCTATTGATATTGTTTCGAGAAAATTGATGTTGGTCAATCTTGCTGACTTAAAGGAGTTAATGTCGATGATCCGTTTTTTCAGGTGGCGATCGTCCATCAGGCTGTCCTTGCAGGACATTCTGTCCTTGCTGGATTTGAATGCAGAGTTTGATTGGAAAAGAAGGTTGTGGTTTGAAATTGGGAAAGCACAAGCTGAGACCACACTGAGAGACTGCAAGAATGATTGTCTCTTGCCATTCTTCAGAAGTTGTGTTCAAGAAGGATTCGCAAAAGACATCTTGAAAGTTTTAGATCAAGGTAAACGTTCATTGCAGACCCGCGGCAGTCCGCGGAACTACCTGCTTAGGCTAGAGATAAGGGGCCGTGGTCTTCTGGAATTGTTTAGGGGAACGAGAAAACAAACATGAGAAGATTAGACCAGACCCAAAAGAGTTTCTGAAATTATTGGCCAATCCGCACTAGCAGAAAAATTTGGAATTCTCTTTCTCAAACTCATTAATAATTCATATAGATAATACAAAGGAAATTATTGTTTAATGAGTGTTTTGAAATCAGATGAAAAACTGCTGGTACAATTAGGCATTCCGGGGTGTCTAGCTTTTGAGAATATACGCGAAAAATCAAATCTTGTACTCGTAGTCGGCTTGTCCTCGAATCTAAAGGTCTTAGTCTAATGTCTCATTGCCTTAAAAGAGGATCTTTATCCTCAAGGTTCACTGATGAACTGTTTCTTTTTCTCAGTTGCATGCAGTACAAGTTCTCCAGGCGTGGCCGCTCGGACTTTGGCGTGTATTGCTGACGTATTAGGTGCTATGGCAGGAGAGAGAGCTGGGCTGAGAAGTGGTCCGGCCCGCAATGAATCCTGGATGGATGCCTTTCAGTGTCTGGAGGTAAACGAAAGCAACTAATCTAAATACACAGACTTAAAAAACTGGAAACTTTTTCCTTAATGATACAGTGGAACCTCGATATAGCGAACCACTATATAACGAAGTTCTCGATATAAGGAACTATTTTCTTTACCCCAGTAACAGTAAAATATATGGAAAAGACCCTCGATATAACGAAACCTCGTTATAGCGAACAAATTTTGCCAGTCCCCTTGCCCGTCGTTATACCGAGGTTCCTCTATAATATAGATTCAAAATTTGACCTGTTATTGAATAAATCTTATTAATATACTAGTAATCGAAGGTTACGGAGTGTGGGCGACAACGATCGAAGGTCAAAATACTTTTGCTCCAGCGCTTTGCTGTGGGTGCATATCACGTGATAGATGGTCAAAACACACGTTATCATGAGTGATAGAAGGTCCAAACGCTCGTGATCAGATTGTATTCTGTGCATTCGATTCATTCCTAGTGGAAGTCCAAGCGAAGCTACATTCGTGCCGTGCATGCGTAATAGCAATCTGGAGATTAGGATTGCGGGCTCCTCTTTTGGCTGGCAATTAAATAGCTCACGCGATTCCACGCGATACATTTTTTCGACTTTGAAAGCTGATGTCTTCTGTTTGTTTTTTTGTTTGTTTGTTTGTTTTTTCAATTTAGAAAGGAGACATCCCAGCTGGAGTGAATGCACTCGCAGAAGAGAGAAATAAGTGGCTTGAAAGGTAAATCATTATGACCATTAGCGTTCGTTAGTTAGCGTTTTTAACGTGGGCCAGTTATTCAGTACAGGAGGTCTTCACTTAGGCCGCGTCTAAGTACAAACATTGACTCTTCGTTTATCCGTTTTTGAGTGAGTTATACAGCGTGCAAAGAAAATCATTTTTAAAGCTTGCCCTTCGGGCAAGCTGAAGCTAGCTCTTACTAGCCCAGACATCATTTCAGCTAGCCCCAAAAGCTTTTTGACGAGCAGAATTGATTTTACAGTTCTTCTGTTATGCGAATTCCTTCAAAAAACATCACTTGCCCGTCGGGCAAGTTAAAAACAGAATTAACTAGCCCGATAACAAAATCCACTAGCCCCGGGCTGTCGGACACTACTTTCTTTGCACGCTGGTTATATATTCTTATTATCTGTGGTATATGCGCCCTTAACAATAATAATACATAGTGTTTGATGTCTAAGGAATGATCTGCCCCAAAGTGATAGAAACTTAGAACGCTGTTTTGTTAAACACCTACCTGTGTAGTTGCAGTATTCTTTTCATTTCTGTCGTCAAGTGGATAAAAATTACAATTAAATAATAAGTTTCGCACGGATGGAGTCCGCTTGCCGAGGGAAACTAGAGTGTTTGATATAGGAGCTGTTGATTATAAAAGATAAAAGACCTACGCTAAATACGCAAGCGGACTCCTGCCATGCGAAAAATTTTATTTAATTGTAGTTTGTCCATTTTCACGTTTAAATTAAATGCACTTTTCGCACTTCTTTTTTCTATAAATATTACCACGAGTCCTGTTAATTTCTTATCTTTTGATAGTGATGACATGAAGCTATCGAAACGTCGTTTCTTTTATATCGTTAATTTTGTTTTAAAATGTGTGTCTAAATCGATCCTCATTACAAAATTTTACGGGAACAAAATACATTAAAGTGTTGTAGATCAGGCAAAAAAACTACCCAGAACAGCAAAAACTAAACGAGCTGAGTTGCATTCTATAAGGTTGTGACACACGAAAGATAAAGAGAAAAATGAATTAAATTTAGGAGAATAAAAATAAATAAATAAATAAAAATTAAATAGAACAAAACAAAACAGAACGGTACCAGATAGCTATGAAGTTTACATTAAATGGGATAAATCAAACAAATTGCTATCCAGCATTAAAGTAATGAAGAGGATAAATAATTTCCTTCATCGTTTCCTTAAATAAATGCAAAGAAGGACTTTTTAAATTTGCATCCAGGTTATTCCAAACAGAAGGACCAGGGGAGCGTATATTAAATTTCCCACAATTAGGCCTAACCTTGTCAAAATAATAAGTTGACTTTGATGCTAGCCTAGTATTATAGCTATGCATAGATGTTATACGTGAAAAGAAGTTGTCTTAAGCCTCGGGTAGTAAAATTATGATGAAACTGAAGCGTAAAAAGGGCAGTCAAAATGAATAGTCATTAGACCCGAGAGTTTGATTAAACCTAGCTGTGAAAAAAAGGGGGCTGGAGTGAACATCTCGATTAGAATATATAATTATTTCTACTCTAATGTGAGACCTTTGCTTTACATTGATATAATTGATTATTATTTTTGAATAGACCCGATCTTCTGATCCGAGCAGCTCGCCATTACGAAGGAGCGGAACAAATTTTAAGACGAAAAGCGGTTTTTACTTCAAGACAGGTCTGTTACATGGCTGACAGTCTACAACATATCCTGCTCCTATATATAATTAAATGGCTTAGTGTACACATTAAAAGAAAATGCAATGAAAAAAGGTAGTTTTATACAAAAGACTGAAAGACACTGATCGATACCCAAACCGCAAAACAATAGCTAACCAACAACAGTTTCTGCAACACCAAGAATCAAACATCCCCCAAAAGTGTGAAAGTATTTAAAACTACAATTGGTCGGTGAAGTCCACACCTTGCTTTAAGCATTAGGCTGATTTAGCATCAGAACGGGAACGTCAGATGACGACGACGCGCCCAAATCAAACAACTGGCTCGACCAACGGCAGAGCGGCAAATTGGGCACCGGAAGTCGCGTTTAGTCTTTTCCGTGCGCTTTCCCGTCGTCAACTGACGTTCCCGTTCTGTTGCTAAATCAGCTTATTAAGACACGATGGAGGCATGCGCGATTAATGCCTGGAAACATAAAAATGAGAAATAAAATTGTTTCCATTAAAACAAGCAAAGCCTGGCCTTGAAGAATTTTAAATGGAAGCGTAATTATAACCAGTTCTGAGAATAGTTTTATCAAATTTAGCCCCATTCGGAATAAGAACTGTTAATTTTCTTAGTCCTCCTCACTTAAATTATTCTTTCATACAGTTTTTCCAAAGCGAGGAATGTGAACCTGTCCCCAAAGGACACTGGGTAATAGCCGAGGCACCTGGTAAGTACTCATTCCTGAAAGCATTGTTTCCTTTCAAAGGCTTTAGATTAGCAAACTAACGTTAGAACCACTATAACCATGGGATAACATAGACATATTAAATTCTGCAAGCAGAATACTGTAATGCTGATCGTACTACGTATACGTGAAAATTAACTCTGCAAGACGTCAACACGACACCGAAAGAACTCAAAACAGAGCGGGATTGTAGCCATAGACAGTTGTTCCGCCCTCTTTGGGGCTCGTCAGTATGGTGTAACAACCAGAAAAAGCTCTGATGAAAAATATCCGCGCACTCTGATTTAAGCCCTAACCTAGAACCCTCAACACCCACAGAATCACGCCATGCCACGTGTCTTCTATGGTATAACATACAGATTTAGTCGAGGCCAAAAGCAAAGCTCTTGTGAGAGCCCTTAAGAAATGTATTTCTGAAGTAAACGTTTGGGAGCCTACGATCAGTTGAATACCATAACTGTACAGCAGAGATCTTAAGGTGGCTCGACTGGATTTTTTTAGGGCGATACCTCCCAAGTTTGAGCCTTAACTACGTCGGCATGAGTAAAGATATCGAAAAAAGGTTACCCAACTGTATTACATAAAGATGAAAATTTCTTATGATCTGGGTTTTATTGCAATCGGAGTCGCCATGGCAACGTAATGACGCCATTACGTTTTTCATTTACCCTTGTGTTTCTCTGTACCAGGAGTTTTTTGAAGAAATCGCTTAAGGGAGTATGTACCTGCCATAATTGCCTCCATTATGGCAAAGTTTAAAGAAATTCTATGAGAGCGTTTTCGAAATATTTTCAAATATACTTTTAAGAATCATAAAAACAGTGAAATAGCATGCTAGCCGCTCAATTCGCTAATATATTAAGAAAATGATAAGCTTTGGGAACGCGGCTTCATCTCATAGTGGATTGATTCCATTGAAAACTGCATACAAAAAAAGAGGGGAATTGCTCTGGGCGATCGCGAGTAAGAAGGATTTTATTAACTTGCATTCAGCTGCTTTTGATACAGTCATTGGAGGTAATTTGGTCCATGCCTAAAAATTTCGCATTTTTCCAAAAACCGCTCGATAAATTTTTTTATAAATTCGACAATTCCGAGATCAATCGTCAAGAAATATTCCCTGCAAGTTTTAAGAACATTGAAAACAGGGAAGGCTTTTAAATAGGGCCTCAAATATAACCAATTTCCCCCCAGATTTTGTGTTTACAAGTGAGCGTCCTCATTATTCACTGGCATTGTTTTCAAGTTTCATATGCACGTGCACAACTAGCAAAAAATATAAATTTGCATCAAAAAGAACTCTCGATTACTTTCCGAAGAAATATCCGGTATATGCTGATAATTGGCTTGTCGTCACAGATAGCAGTGAGAGCCGAAATGGTGAACGTCTCGGCTCATCGTGTAGAATCCAATACTTAATTATCTTACTCGGGTTATAACATCACAGAAACTCTCACAAAGAGTTGCTCTGATGTTATAATGTATCACTAACCTCTTTACCCGGTAATTAGCATATCCCGAAGATTTAACCGAGGGTCCTTTTTGATGCAAATTCTCTCTTTTTGCTAAATGTGCACGTGCATATGAAACTTGAAAACAATGCCAGTGAATAATGAGGACGCTCACTTGTAAACACAAAATCTGGGGGGAAAATTGGTTATGTTTGAGTCCCTATTTAAAAGCCTTCCCGGTTTTCAATGTTCTTGAAACTTGCAGGGAATAATTCTTGACAATTGATCTCGGAATTGTCGAATTTATAAAAAAATTTATCGAGCGGTTTTTGGAAAAATGCGAAATTCTTAGGCATGGACCAAATTACCTCCAAAAACTGTATCAAAAGCAGCTGAATGCAAGTTAATAAAATTCTTCTTACTCGCGATCGCCCAGAGCAATTCCCCTCTTTTTTTGTATGCAGTTTTCAATGGAATCAATCCACTATGAGATGAAGCCGCGTTCCCAAAGCTTATCATTTTCTTAATATATTAGCGAATTGAGCGGCTAGCATGCTATTTAACTGTTTTTATGATTCTTAAAAGTGTATTTGAAAATATTTCGAAAACGCTCTCATAGAATTTCTTTAAACTTTGCCATAATGGAGGCAATTATGGCAGGTACATACTCCCTTAAGCGATTTCTTCAAAAAACTCCTGGTACAGAGAAACACAAGGATAAATGAAAAACGTAATGGCATCATTACGTTGCCATGGCGACTCCGATTGCAATAAAACCCAGATCATAAGAAATTTTCATCTTTATGTAATACAATTGTGGTAACCTTTTTTCGATATCTTTACTCATGCTGACGTAGTTAATGCTCAAACTTGGGAGGTATCAACCCCAAAAAATCCAGTCGAGCCACCTTAAAAGAAAAGAAAAGCGTCACCTCAATGAGTTGCACACCTGAGCCCGCAATACAGACATGTGACACCTGGAAGCGGATACCCTATTAATTGATCATACATGTCCAATATAAAGCTAAGTTAAACATACGTTGTATATGCCTTAGACTTTACGGCTAGTAAGTAAGACATTTCACATCCGCTAACATGAGGGTGGACGTACGTAGGTACCTACGGACGATTTTGTCAGAGCCAAAATTTGTTGAATGCATAGATAACCAAATTTTCTCAAAATCTGAGGCGGAGGATTTTCTGCTAGGCCATTATTGCATTGACCTTTTTCGGAGAGGCTTAAAAGCGTTGCCAGAATCCCACATTTACGTACCCTACTTGCAGACGTTTCTTTCCGACCTGGTTTTGGCATTTTTTAAATCGTCAGTCGCGTCGCTGAAATTAGTGTAGTTGGCTTGTTTAACCCCATGTGCCAATGTCAGTGAAGCGACTGATGACTTCGTAAATGCTCATGTCAGAAAAAATGTCTGCTAGCAGGGTAAAAGGCGACGTTTTAATCCCTACCACTAGGGAGAGGGCTGGGTGCCTTATGCTACAACGGCTGCTTGGGTAACCTGTGGCTTAATTGAAAATCTTTTGCAGTACATTATATCACGATCAACACAAGTTTTAATCTCTCATATGGTCACCCCACCTACCCTGTAAACTTTATCAAAGAGAGAGATTTTATGGACAGGGAGGTTACCCCACCAAAGCGGGTTACCTCACCTCCCTGTGGTCTTTCCAGTCCATGTAAGCAGGTCCCCTCTACTTTACGACTAACGTTTTACTTGTGCAAGTTCATTCTTATCTCTCGGTTGTTTGTTCCCTTTCAGCTCGAATAGATTTGTCTGGTTGCTGGACTGACACCCCTCCTGTGACCTATGAGCACGGTGGGGCTGTTCTTACCGTTGCTGTTAACCTTAATGGAAAGGTAAGGGAGAACCATACTGCATTTATTTTGAGTTTCGAGTTTTCCTTTCTTCTGCAAATTAGGGCTTTCGTTATTCAAACCTCGCTATAGAAGTATCAAATTTACTGGTATGAAAGAAAGACGAAAAGCCGGGATTCTGGTCATAGTAATAAAATGACACCATAAAGCAAATGCCGTATTCTTATGTGTTTTGCACATGTTAACGAAGTCAGAAAGGCTAATAATACCTATGAAAAAATAATAATAGACCGCCATTATGAAAGAGGTCTATTAGCCAAAGCCGATTTTTTAACTAATGGTTTTTTTCCTTTTTTTTCCGCTTTACAGAAAGTAACAGGGGCTAAAGTTAGAAAAATATCTGAGTGAGTGTTCATTTTGGAAATCTTAACGCTTTTCCAGAAGTAGAATCTGGGACTGTACTATTTATCATCTGTGCTATTTATCGAAACGTCGACTCTAATTTAACTGATTCGTGGGGGTTCGGTTCGCTTTGTACGCATGAGCGCAATAAGGTAATAGGGAGTTTAAGCACCGACGTTTTGAGCAACGCACAACAACCGGAAGTGGACTTTGTGCAATCTTAGGCTGTGATTTTGAACGAATTTTCCAGCAGCTCGTCTCTATCGGAGTAAAGACACTTAGCAATACAACTTAGGTAGCATAAAGGCAAATTAAAAAGGAAAAAGGTTCACTTTCGGCTGACGTACGTCGCTCAAAAACGTCGTTGCTTAAACTCCCTATAGAGTGTTTTGACTCACGTGGCCAGCATCTATGCAAATTTATTGGAACAAAAGAAAGCGTTTGCATGAGAAAAGAGTTGAACTCCCAGAGGATTGGTTTGGGAAACCAACATGGCCGCCGTTTCATTGTTTTGGGACACCAATATGGCCGCCGTGACGTCATATGAAAACGCTCTATTAGAGAGCTTAAGCAACGACGACGGCGACGTCACCGAGAACGGCAAAAAATCAATAGGTTTAGATAAGGAAAAAAAACCCAGCTCTGCACTGACATCACGCTTTAATTTTTTGTACATCTCTTTGCCGTCACTGCACAACTACGACATGAAAAGGTTTAGTTTCACGTTTTGTGGAGGACATGAACACAAGACTTACTTTTCTTGAACTTTAGAATTATTTAGAATTCAACTCCAGGAAAAATTGCAAGCATTTGATGAATTGAACGAGATGGAATAAGCGAGATAAAGTTTGAAGCAGCGCTACTTCACTTGTTGAGTGACGTTTTCGTAACCGTAGCCGTTGCCGCTGTTGTTGTTGTTTAAGTTCCCTATTCACTGGAAAAAGAAGTTGGGCCAAAGAGAATTTAATCGGCTGATTTAGCAACAGAACGGGAACGTCATTTCACGTCGGGAAAGCGCGCGGATAGGACTAATCTCGACTTCCGGTGCACAATTTGCCGCTCAGCCATTGGTCAAGCCAGTTGTTTGATTTGCGAGCGCCGTCATCAACTGACGTTCCCGTTTTGTTGCTAAATCAGCCTATTGAGGAAGAAGGAACTGCTCCTATTTTAAATATCCTGCTTGCAGGCGTCCATTTCCCTAATTTCGCTTCTTGAATTACAGTCAAGAGGTCTACCATATATTAATAATAAATGATAATGATAATAATAATAATAATAATAATGATAATGATAATAATTAATAGAGAGATTAAGCATCGCGTTTACAGCAAACGGCAAACATGGTGAGATTCAAGTTGAGAAATTTTCAAAATGAGAAATGAACAGATAAAAACAGCTTAAAACAATTCTTATGGACAGAATTGGCGTGAATCTACCCATTTTCGTGTAGTTATAACGAACAGTAAACGATAAGTAAATGGAAAACTTTGTCACGTGGTACTAATTCAGTTTTGAAGTTTGCCGTAAATGCGATGCTGAATCTCTATATTAATAATTTCAATATTGTTTTTAGGCTTGAAATAGTCCTTGTGATTCACTCTGGACAACACAATGTTCGAGTTGTATGCAGTGAATTAACGCACTTGGAGAATTACACTCAGCCGCATGCGCCAGGTAAAGTTAATCCCAGGCCCTCTCTTTTTCGCTGAGATCCGTTTAATCAACATTGTCCTACACAAACTCACTCCAATCTATTTTAGGAGTGGGTTTTCCATCAACAAATTTCGAACGCTTGGTAGCATATAGAGCGATTTTCATATGACCTTGAAAAATGGTTTCGGTAAGTGTTCGTTATTTGTTTTATTAGCCAACGGATGAAAAGATCAAAACGTGGCCTCTTCGTTTTCCCGCCAAAGAAAACCCTAATATGGAGAAGGCATTTTTCGATTGGCCAATCGTGTTGCAGTATGACGTCCAAGCCAAGTGTCGGTTGATTTCTAGAAAGTTCTCGGGCATGAAGTTTTTTCACCGGAGCGTTCGATTAACCAACCAAAAGCCGCGCGCGTTTGTATCCGTTCGATAAACCAATCAAATCGCTCTATTTCCGTTCGTTTGTTGTTTCTGTTTTGTTTGCGCGTTTTCATTTCAAGGTCATACAGAAATTGCTGTATGCTCTTAGGCCATGTTTATATGGAGAAAAGCTGTGCCGGATCACAGGGTCAACCTCCCTGAGCAAGCGTTTATTTGAAAATATAGTTGACGCCTTTGTACGATCCAACAGTGCTTGCGCATGCTCTGATTGTCTCGCTTGACCGAGTTGACCCGGCTGGGCGAGCCAAAGTGTTTTTATGGAGAAAAGATGGTCCAGCTAGGAGGGTGACCCTACCATCACAAAAGGGTGACCCGGCTTGGTCAATCTTCTAGCCGAGCCAACTTTTTGTTTAGTAAGAAAATGTATGAAAAGTTGGCTCGCCCAGGGTAAAGCTGTATCTCGGATAGGCGGATGACCCGTCTACTCGGGACAAGTTTTTTCCATATAAACGGGACTTTGGTCGCTGAGATACAGCCAGGATCTTTTTTCTTTACGAAAACTGGAGAGTTCTTGATTACAGTATTACGTCCTTTCAATTGCACGTTCTTCTTTAGGTGCTCTTCTTAAGGCTTGTTTTTGCCTCCTGGACATTGTAACACTACCTTCAAGCGAACCATTGAGTGCCCAGCTACAGAGAAAGTATCAGGCAGGGTTTGAGCTCCACACGTGGTCGACTGCTCCTCAGGGCAGTGGCTTGGGAACGAGTAGCATTTTAGCCGGAGCCATTCTTGCCGCATTGCTACGGGTTACAGACCGTACAGCCAGCTTGGACTCACTCATTCACGCTGTGATGATCGTTGAACAAATGTTGACCACTGGCGGCGGCTGGCAGGATAACGCTGGTGGACTGGTACCAGGATTTAAGATGACTCGATCCCAAGCCTCTTTACCTCTGAAGGTTGAAGTGGAACCGCTGAATTTATCTGAAACCACCGTGGATGCAGTAACGAAACGATTACTTTGCCTTTTCTCCGGAAAACCACGTCTTGCTAAAAATTTGTTACAGGTAATAAAGCAACTTTTCGTGTCCCATGAAAGAGCTATAAAAAATGTGAATTAAACCTTAAGCCAGAGCTAATCATAGAGACATGAGCAGTTATTCGAATATTTGTTGTCTTTGTGCTATTAGTCTATTGCAAGGTTAATTGTCCAAACTACTATCATCCCCAGGACTCACTGGCCATTGGCTACGGTGAGTCCTGGGACTCATTTCAAGAAAAATCCAAAACCCAAGTCCGAAACAAACGAGTGTTAGTCGATAAATTGAGAGGTCCCTGGGAGAACCTTGAACACTTGAAATATTTCAGGAATGTTTATTGTGATATAACCAATCACAGCAAAGATCAGAACATGGGAACTAGCCACCAAACCACAAACTAATCAACGCTCTTTCTTGCGGTTTAGTTATCTCACGCCTGATTGGCTTTTTTCTTGCAACACAATAACATTCCAGGAATATTTCTGTTGTTCACGGTTTTCCCGGTTTGACTGTACATGCTTCTTGAAAGCAATGAATGGACATAGGGCAAATCGTTCTGTTGGCCAGAACCTCTTTAGAACCTCTAATTTGATAGTTTCTTGTTAGCCTGAAACTTTACTGTTTCAGAGTTGGGGTTCATTGTTAGTTTTGTTTGGGTTAGGGCTATCTATTGTTTTCTAAACCAGTCCTGTGAGCCGTTCTTAGAGCTTCCGGCCCACCCAAATCGTTAGAGGGGAGTTTATTGCATGATGTGAGCGCAGTGGCAAGGACAAGATCTTGCACCAAGTGATGAGGACATTTTAACCTTTCATGATTTCCTTCCAAAACACTTTCGTAATACCCGGCATATTTTTGAAACCGCATGCTCTTTTATGCGAATCCTTCAACCTTCCGTCCTTACAAAATCAGTGAATCCGCAAACCGAAACTGCATATTTTTGAAACCGCTCTCCAGAATGGATTTTTTTTGGATCCGACGGGTTTGTTGAATTCGTGTGGACGACTGAAACAGGCGGGGGAGGGGCGTGAATCCAAACTGGATACACTACACCGAATTCGAGTGGACGAAAATATCAAGTATTCAATTTCAGCATATCCGGATTCGTGTTTAAGTGGCCTAAGAATGTGTACATGAATAGGAATCGGTGGCGATGTTTAATCGTAACAATTACGGAGGCTACGCAACGACAATGACGGCGTCAACGAGAACGGCAAAAAAGCAATAAGTTGAGATTGGTGTTTCTGTATATTTTTCTTTGCCGTCACTGCTCGACTAAGACGTGAAAGTCCCTAATTTCACCTTTTATGGAGGACGTGAACACAAAACAACGATATTCTTTTTGTTTTTGCAGTGCCGTAGCGTGGGGAGGGGCCGGGGGGAGGGCCTGGCCTTCCCCCAATAATTTTGACAGGCACGTTTAATTTGGTGAGCGGCCACGCTCTTCACGCTGCTCTTCGGGTCAATGTGTTCATTTCGGTTCGATAAAGCGTCAAAATTATTTATTTATGGCTTCAACAAAGAAAAATTGCTGGAAATTAATGCTCTCCGAAGGCTGAAAATGCTATTTCAGAGACCCTATAGTTCAAAATCTTGCGGGAGAGCATGCCCCCGGACCCCCTAGCAGCTCGCGATTTCGGCGCTCATGATTTCCCCTCCCCATTACCTTGCTATGGCACTGTTTTGTGAACTTTAGATACAGTCCGTTAGAATTCAACTCCTGAAAAATCGCTAACATTTGACAGATTAAAGGAGTTGGAATAAGAGCGATGAAGTTTGAAACAGCGCGAATTCACTTTTTGAGTGACGTTTTCGCTCCCGTTGCCGTCTTCGTTGCTTAACTCCCTTATGTCTAATTGAAATGCTCCAATATTAATATCGGTGAATTCAATTTAAACCCTACTGATTTCGCGTTTTTTAGGATGTGGTCAGGAACTGGTACGCAAGGTTTCCACACATAACTGAAAACGCTGACAACCTGATAACAAACGCAGAGGAAGCCGTGGAAGCACTTAAGACAGGTAAAATTGGGATAAATGTTAAGCCTCGTGAAAAAGGACGCAACAATGTTTACCAACAACTCCCATCATTGCTGGATGTTACATGTTGCGTCCGTTTGCACAACCTGTTGCGTGTTGTTGGGAGTTTTTGCGCCAAGTTTGAAACCAGTCAAACTTTTGAACCAACAACTCCCAACATTTCGTTTGTTCCGTGATCGCCGAAGCGTAGCGCTACAATGCTGCATCGGCTTGCACAACTCTTCCAACATTGTTGGGGCCATGCACGCGCATTACACATGGTTTACAACGTCTTACGGGTTGTAACCTTCCCACGATGCACTGCAGATCCCATCATTATTGGGAGCTGTTTCGTCCATTTGCACACCACTGCCAACACGAACGCAACAACTTACGACAATGTTGGGAGTTGTTGCGTCCGTTTACACGTCGCCTTTAGTTCTCGGACTGCAAATATTGGTCCGATTGTACCAGCGTTGCCTGACATCTTGTCACTTAAGGTTGCTACACACTAGACAACAATTTGCAGCAACACACGGCAGCCACAAATCTCTGTAGTGGAGAACTTTTGTGAAAATCTTTGTCTCCGCAATAGAATTTTGTCGCCGTAAGAAGTCGGACAAAATCAAATCAGACTGAATTTGTGCAACTTTTGCAGCGACAAAATTCTGTTGCTGAGACAAAGATTTCCCAGAAATTCTCCACTACATACGAAGCGATCTGTCCCTGCAACGTGTCGTGCAACTGGTTGCAGCAACTCATCGCCCGACCTGTACAAAAGGAGTGATTGGTCGCCGCGACGTGTTGCAGCGACAGAATCAGCGTTAGAATCTGTCGTTAGATCTCGCTTTTTATTGCAAATCCGGATCCAGATTTCCCAATTGAACACGCTCTTATTCACCGTTTTTCAGGAAATGTTGAGAAGTTAGGCGCCTGTATGAATTGTTACCGTAAGCAGAAGTGTATAATGGCTCCCGGTGAGTAGCTTTCAGCAACTATTCATTCCCTTTCCATCATTAGCAGGGTTTAGAATCAGGTGAGACTCAAGTTGACAATATCTAAAATTAGGAAATGACAAAAACTGCAAGCTGCAAATGGCTTGTTTTTGTCTTCCTATTGCAATTTGGGGGTAATTTTTTTACACAAACAAGTGTACTCTCGTAATTCGGGCTTAATTTACACAAATTAAAAACCTAGGATACTGCTTCTGGAAAAACCAAAGCTTTTAGTAATACACACATTTCCCGCAGGAACCGAACCTGATGGAATACGAGATATGATGGAGGCGCTGAACCCTTTCGTATTAGGTGAGACGTTGTTTGTTTTTTACCCGGCTTACCAGGCTAGTTCTCGAGTTTATTATTATTATTTTTTTTTCACTACAAGACAACGGCCTGAACCCAGCGGTGTACTCCGGATTTCAAGTGACTGGGATGATCTAATGGGGGCAAAAATCAAAACGCGAAAAAATCCCTAGGGCTTCCAACAAAAGCCCAAAATTTCCCTGGAACAAAAATTAACCCCCCAATAAATCCCATATAGAACTACGCAGCCGGGATACGCGGGCACTACAACATATCTGCAGATTGTTTTAAATACCCAAAAAATCCCTCTTTAAATCGAGCCATCCCAAAAAATACTTAATAAATTTTTAAATAATACTAAATAATTTTTCTACCACCCGCCCTCCCCAAAAAAAAAAAGTCCCGGAATCGAAGATTTCCAACCCAGAAAAATTCCTTCGATGATCCCTGTCACTTGAAATGTAGTACCTCCCCCTGGGAGCCTGACGATTTTTCTGACAATAGCTTTTTAATTGTTTCAGGACAAACCCTGACCGGAGCTGGAGGGGGAGGCTTTTTGGTTCTTATCACTAAAGAACCTAACATGGCTGATAAAATACGAGCTGTGATCGAGGAGAAAAAGGTACTAGCGCCTGAATGTCACATTCCATCGATACAAACAAAAAAAAAATCAACAAAAGGGGAAATTGCTAACAGCAGTGTTTTTCTATTGCTGACAACGTTCAGAGTGTTAATCACTCTCTAAAAAAAAAGCCGTTGTAAAAGTTTCCCGAAAACTATGATTCAGGTGATGATAGAGTTAAGTTTTATAACCTGAGACACTGTGAAACAACGACAACAAAAGCAACGCGGCTAGATTTTGCCGGGGTAATAGGTGATGGAGTATGTGGTCGAGGCTCTTCACCTAGGCTAGACTGTTCACAGTCCTTTTATTTTTCCATGAGATCAAGATCGAAATTCCGTTACGGTCGGCCATCTTGGATAAGGGTCAAATCTACTTTAGGTGCAATAAAACGGGCAACAAAGAACGTGAAACTTGTTTTGCCACGTTGCTTCAAACGAGTTGAATAGCGATGTTGCGCGGTTTATCATCACGAAAAAAATGCTTGGAGTCATATTTGTTGCAAGACAGGTTCGAACATGGGTGGTAAAACGCGCAACATCGCTATTCAACTCGTTTTGCTGCAATGTTGCAAAAAAATTCCCCTTTCTGTTTTTTTGTTACCCGTTTTACTGTAGCTCTAGCAGGAGCGGGGACGGGTAAAAACCTCGACGTCCGCGTCGTTAGTAAATATGAAGCCAAGTTGGCCGACCGTACGGTAAGGTTTTGGCAGAAAGCGCTGGCAAATGGCGCAGACAATTGTTTCGTTTCCGTTTCAAACTTGAAAACTCTTGTTGTAGTAACCTATAAGAATTGAGTAAATTTACATGGTATTAATGATATATTAAACTTTGAACACTGCAAATCAGTGTGGAGATAAAACGCTAGCTTTTGAGTGTTTAGCTTAGCTTTTGCAAGTCTCTCGGTTTGACATCGGTTGCAGGGTTCGTTTGTCACACACACAGCAAGTTGTTCTCTTAAGAAATCGATTCCCACAGTTTTGTTTTTAGATGACTTTGCAAAGTCTTACTTTTAGAACTAAGTTCTTCATAATTTTGCGGTTTCAGGCTTCGGATGAGTTCATTTTTTACGACGTAAGCGTGGACTGGGATGGACTGACTGTGAGAGTAGAAGAACCGTCGCAATGAGTCATGGACCTTCAGTAACCGCCACAAGTTAGGCCACAGTGATGTAATCGGTAAAGAGCAAAAGAAATTTAGAATTTCAGTTCGAGTCAGGGAAAATTTAAGTCTTTGAAAGAAGTCAGGGAAAAGTAAAATTTTAAGGGTACATTTACATATTTTACGGACATGAATCACGTTGTATTGGTAGAATATTGTTCATGAAGTTGAACAGCAAGCTTATGTTGGGTTTGCAAAAAAATCAATCCTGTTTGCACGTTATATTAGGGAAGGTATCAACTCATGTACATTGCACGTGACTTGTGAAAGCATAAATAAGTGGGTTGGGGGATAGCTGTCAGGGGAGCGTTGAGTACAATATCAGAACTAATTTGGGAAATTGTTAATTCAGTTGGTCAGGGAAATTTTTCATTGGTCAGGGAAAAGTCGGAGAATTTCAAAAACCTCTGGCTGTAGCAACCATGTTCTAGATGATGAAGATATTTACTTGAATGTCACAAATTTAATAGAATATTTTAAGAAGTTAATCTGAAACGTAATTAGTCTAGTCTATTTTCAAATAACAAAATCCCTGACTTGAATTTATGTGCAAGGTGTTTCTACCCGTATGTTTTTGTATTTCTTTTTTTTTTTTTTTTTTTTTTTTTTTTCTTGTTTTAATTTAATATCGCCTTTATTTAAAGTTTTCATTGTCCAGCCTAGATTAGCATAAAAGCTATTTGTGGGGCGTAAAGTATTGTAAACTTAAAAGTTCTGTTAATAAATACAGGGTTTCAAGAGAGTCCTATATTCCTATAAAATCCTATTTTTAAAGACCTTTCCTATAAAATCGTATGGCCTCGCACATGACTGAAGGCGCGAGACGGGAGAGACTGCCGCCCTCGTTTCGCGCGTCTTTCGCGGCCTCGTCGCTCTACGATCGGGCGTGCGTGCACTCCCTTTACTAAATCTAAAAAAAGAGAAACTGCTCCCAGTCTATTCATAGCGTGAATAAGTGTAGTCTCCTTTGCAGTTTTTTCTTTTTGGTCACGGAACACTCCGGGGAGGAGCATTGCGTGACGAGCCAAAGAACGTACGTGTCATTACCTGTTTGATTTATCTAAAGTGTCAGGAAGGCGTGTTCAATTTACTGATTGATAAGTATTAGCTTGATTCAGAGTTTGGTGTTTAATCTAAATGTAGCCTCTGCGTATCAACCTCGTCTAGCTGTTTTCTTTAGCTACTGTAGTTTATTTTTAGAGCATGGCCTGTTTTGTTTTTTTTTTTCTATTATTTTATTAGTATTAGTATTTATTATTTTTTATAACCTCTTTCTTTGAAAACTATTTGTTGGGGCCAATTTAGGGAGTTACAAGGTTTGCATGAAGATGTTAAGAAATTTAAAGTCCATCTCTTTTGGTCTAAAAATAAACAGTTTTACAGTCGTGAGACTTGAGTTGTACTGGTGCGCACTACAACACTAGTTTTCCGGTACGTCACAAGTTAACACTGACAAATCAACGTTTAAAAATAAAGCATTCTCTCCTCCTTACAAATTTGAATTTTTTTAAAAATAATTTTAAAAAAAAACATGAAATCCAAAAATGTTTACTTTCTTTTTTCTTGGTTCATTCAATCTCCACTATACTTACTGCGCTTTCACAAACATGCGAATTTTGAAGTTCAAAAGCCAACTGACGATTGCGTTTTTCGCTGCTGTCAATCATCTTAAAGGACCTCTTAGGAAACAAAACTTTACTTTAACGGGTTCAAAAGGTCAAGGTTTGTGATTTGTGATTGGTGGATTTCGATCCGTTTTGTGTGTTTTTGTGTTTTAAGGTTCGTTGCTTGTGATCGTAATTATGATTGACGGCAGTGAAAAACGCAATTGTGAAGGCGGCTTATGAACTTTAGAGTTCGCATGTTTGTGAAAAGCGCAGTAAGGCTAAAGACCTTTTTTCTTAATGGCTGTCCATCTATTGAGTCTTTCATTAATAATAGCGGAACAGTCGAAAGTCGGCTGTAATTAGGGATTTAAAAAATATTAGCAGTGAAAAGCTTTATCTTTATTGGTTTTTAGTTTGCATGTCATACAAATTTTCCCGTCACCTGTCGCTTTTATTGTCCCTTTCCCATTTATTAGTTGGTAAATTTTAATTCTTGTCACCCGACCATTAACGGCTACTTCTGAAGATGTACAGTCGACTCCCGATAACTCGAACCTCGCAATAAAGCGAACCAAAATCGATTTCCCCTGGGTTTCCTTCGTACATTTACTGTACTTATCCTAAGAACTAGAATCCTCGATAACTCGAACCTCCCACAAAATCGACAGGCCCAGCCCAGAGGTCTTTTTTTTTTCGTTGATCAAATATTTAATAGTATTTTTCAATTGTAATTCACTGATTGTGTAGTAAAACTAAAATACAGTAAAGAGCTGAAAAAGCCCTGACTCACGCGTTCCACAAAACGTGTTTAGCCTTCGTGTAAAAGTATGAAAAAGGAGATTTGGTATGCCTACAAGGCCTTTACCCCTTGCTGTTTCGTCTCTTACTCTTTAATTTTGTCGGATAAAGTCGGTTTTGTAGGATTCGTACTGTGCATTGAGAAAATGTTTTTTTTTGCCGCTTTTCTTTCACTGGTACGTCATGTGGCCTTTTACTGTACACGCGCAGTTGCTGCCTGTGTTTTTTTATCTTTGCTCTATCAGAAATTAGCCTCTTAACGCTAGCTGAAGATGTCAGTGTTTTCCATTCT